CTATATTCTTAATAAAGAAAGGAGTTAATTTCACAAACGGTCATTGAACTTACGCAAAAATTACAAAACGATCACTAAAGTTTAAAACTATGAGTAATGGTCACTTAAGTTTCAAGGCGCTTTCAGAAACGGTCACTGAAGTTTAAAAACACTTTTTTAATTTTTTGGACTACTTTTACGGCAACTTTTCTGTCACTTCTGACCACTGATACCGCATAATTTTGATACCGTTGAAAAGCCCACAATGTCATCTTCAATTACTAGCCAAAATGTCCCTGTAACTCCAAGAGATTCGATCGTAAAATCGTCTCCAAAATCCGCCTAAAAAATCTGAAAATCTTACGACGATTTTTCGACGACTTTCGACCACCGAGACCGTCGAATTTTGATATCGTTGAAATGTCCACAATGTTCTCTTCAATAACCATCCAAAATCTCCCCTAAACTCCAAAGGATTCGGTTTGAATTAACCCATATAGTCGGTTACCCAAAAAGGCTAAAATCTTAATAGATTTTTTAGTTTTTTGGGCAACTTCCAACCACCAAGACCTCCGGATTTCGATACCTTTGGAAAGCTCACAATCTCCTCTTCAGTTACTCCCCAAAATCTCCCCATAACTCCAAAAAATTTGGTTGGAATAAACCCACAAAGTCAACACCCCGAATCTGGGCAGATTTTGACCTTTTTAGGTAGTCGACTTTGTGGATTTATTCCGGTTGAATCCTTTGGAATTTGGACGACTTTGCCTCGATTTTTCGGTTGAATCCCTTGAAGTTACAGGGAGATTTTGAGTTTAATTAAAGAGGACATTGTGGACTTTCCAACGGTATCAAAATTTAGTGGTATCGGTGGTCGGAAATGGCTGAAATGTTGCCGTAAAAATAACCCAAAAAACTGAAAAAAAGTATTTTTAAATTTCAATGACCGTTTCTGAAAGTTTTAAAATTTCATTGACAGTTTCTATAAGTTTTTAAATTTCGGTGACCATTTTTGAAAGTGCCTCAAAATTTAAGTGAACGTTACTGAAAATTTTAAATTTCAGTGATCGTTTTGTAATTTTCACATAAGTTAAGTGATCGTTTATGAAATTAACCCATAAAGAAAGTGAAACGAGTTAAAAAAAAAATTAAAAAAAGAAAGTGACATGAGTTAAAAAAAATTAAAAAATATTATGAATTTCATATATTAAAACGAGTTTCAACATAATTGAGTTTTAAGAAATGAGGTCAAATTTGAAAATAATCTTCTCATTGGAAAAAGTGAACCTATAGTGTTAAACATGCAGGTCAAAGTTTTTATTTATTACGTATGATGTCATGGTGCAACTTTCTAGGTTGATGGCTCTCTTGAAGAGGAAGAAAAATCTACCGCCCTACAATATTCTTCCAAGAATATCATGGTTTTAATTTTGGTCCAGGTTTTATGGTCATGAATAGAGGCTCTCTTAGTCAAATATCAACTTATTTTCATCTGTCATGACAATCTACTTATGTTAATTTATCGGATATGTCAATCCCATGATCAATCCTTAATAAAAGAAGAAAAAAGAAGAAGAAGATTTTCTCTCCTGAAATCATGGATAATAACCAGGTGCTTTTGACCATCACTGTGTCGTATTAATGCTATTTCTCATTTTAATTAATAGTGTTCAATGACTTGATTTAAGTGCCTACTTGACACCCATTAATTTATTGAATTAATCTATACCGATGTACATAATGTTCAAATATTATTTTTCTGATATAGCTATGGCATGACTCTAATTTATTTTATAATTTGATACACGATCATTTTTAACCACGTATTTACTCAATAAATATTCTACATGTATAACATAAATTTAACCTTACTTTTTAACTACACATTCTCTTAAAAATTACTATTCAAAACTCTTTTTATCTACAATAATGGTCGTCAAATAGGCTCTTATAAAGTTAAAATAATTGAAGAGAAACAAAAGAGATAGAGTTGAAATCTATTGTATAATTTGCTGCCCATCCAATTGTAAATTGACATATCATGAAAAATCAATTTTAAATTTTCAACCTTAACATAAATTTTAATTTTCTAGGATATGTGAATTTGTAGTTGGATGGACAATAAATTTAACGACCGATCTCAACTTAGAAAGATAAATCCTTGTTTGAACTCCATTTTTTCCTTTACTTTTAATGACACAATTCTGAATAAAATAATAATAAAAATTGCACTCACATATTTTTTAACTTTTAAATTCAAAAATCAAGTTCAAAGGTTTTTTATTTAAAAATCGAGAAATAATTCAAAATTTTAATATTAATAATTATATTATAAAGATTAATCTAAATACCTATCCACCTTCCACATTTCACTTCTCAAATTATAATCCTCTACATTCTCTCCTCTCTCTTTATCATACACCACCATAGGAAGGCCTCCCTTGGCACGAAGTGGTGAGCGTGACGATGTCGATTTGAGAGTAGCAACGCTCACAACGTTGCAGTGCATCGACGATGAAGTTTTGATGATGGTGCTAGCGATGGTGATGAGGTGGTGTGACTTCAGTTGGTGTCTATGGGGTGGAACGAAATGAAGAATATTTGTAACCAATTATTTGGGTAACTGTGACCAATAAATGTGATTGATAAAATACATAATTTGTGATCAATAAATAATATGTGACCTAACAAATGTGAGATTGCAACTAACTCTGTAATTGTAACTCACAATTTGTTAAGTTGTGATAAATTAATTTGATAATTTATAATCGTGATATAAATTGTGACCTATAAAATTTGTGATTTGATAAAAAATAATAATAATAAATGACCTACTAGTTTAATAATTTGTGATTAACAAATAAGTAGCGACCTATAAAATTTGTGATTTGTGATCGAAAATTAATATGTGACTAATTAATTTGATAATTTTTTATCAACAAATAAGTTGTGACATATAAAAATTGTGATTTGTTATTATGACATTTTGTAATTATGACTAGTATGTAACTGTAATTATAAATTGTATAATATAGTTATATTAATATATTTATTTAATAGAATATTTTTAATTATTTATTTAGTGTATATTTGAGCCATATTATTTTGAAAAAATGTATTTTGAAATAATAGATTGATGGAGAATGTGTGATTGAAAGATGAGGAAAAGTTTTGAATTTGCGTATAATATTATTTTATTGAAAAATATGTTGTTGAAATAATATCAAATCACTGTTTAATAATGTATTATTTTAGAAATAATATGGTTCAAATAGGGCCTTAATTAATAAAATTTAATCACGACCTAATTTTTGAAAATTTGAAACATATTTTGTAAGTTTGAAATTGTATATTTCAAACATATTAAATATTTATTGTTCTCAAAATAATATTACATGTAAATTCAAAATATTTTCTTATTTTTTGACCACAAATTCTCTAAAAAATCACTATTGTTTTTTTTTTTTCAATAATTTCATTTAAAATATGGAGCCCAACCAGAGGCTAAAACTTACTTAGCTCTGATTTGATTTTACTAAAAATAATATTTTTATTGAATTGAGAAAAGTTGATCAAATGTGTAGTTAAAAAATTAATAAAAATTGTGAATCTCATAAAATATGTGATTAAAATTAATGATTTATTTTGAATTAAATTTATCAATTTTTTAGCTAATTCAAATATAAGTTTATATCATTTTACTATACATGATTGTCTACTGAAGAAAAGTCGTAACATAACTCTATATTATCAAAAAAAAAAAAATGAAATAAATTTTTTAATATTAGACATTTCATATTTATCAAAATATTTTAAAATACAGTAATATTAAATTCGAACAATACAATTTTAGAAAACTATTAAAAATGTAAAATCTTATAAATTGGTAAATTACTTAAAATAAATAATAAAATACTTCCTCCCACCCGCCCCCACTTCACTATCTTCATTGAGAGAAAATTAACCACCCAAACTCCCTTCCCACTCCCATTCTAGCTCCTCGCTTTGTTTCTTCAAAAAATTGACGAGCCACTCGCCTTTCTCTCTTTCCAAAACAAATAATATTATCTAGCATTAGTGCTATTAAACAAGGCCGGTTTTGGCCCAAGGCCACAAGACAGTGGCCTTGGGCCACAGGATGAAATGGGGCCTCAAAAAGTTTTCGAAAGCCCAAAAATAGCTATTATGGAATTTCCTCAAATTTCTTACATAAATATTTTATGATAGTGCAAATAAAGTAGGGGCCTTTCTACGAATTACGTCTTTCAATTTATTGTTGCTTTTGAATTTATTTTTTTAAAATATAAGATATTTTTTATAATAAATAGTATGCACCATTCCCATACCTCACTGATTTTCATAAAATTTTTATGTTATACTTCTTGAAAACGAAAATTGATTCCCGATCCAATCAAACGATGAGTGAGTATCAAAAATATAATATTTCTTATCATGAGAAACTATTTGATTCGGCCAAGTTTGATGCCAATATGCTTGTAAAAAAATGGGCCTCATGATAACTTATTGCCTAGGGTTTAAAAATTTTCAAGATTGGCCATGATATTAAACATTAATATAGGTGTCAGTATGTCATAAGTTATAATAAATTAGTTATAAATCATTGTATTTAGTTAAATATCTAATTTAATGATATAAGAGTAGGCACATAAATCGGTGTTAAACACCAATAATGCTGAATACCATTACTCTTCTCATTTATTATTATTTGTAGTTGTTTATGGTAGTTCAAGAAGTGGGATGGTGGCGCAAATATAATGGAGGGTGTATAGATCTAGCCCCTATTGTAGAATGGATCTTGTGGCCAATGTGGGGATTTTGTCGCGATTGGGATTGATGCAAATTTGGTGACATGGTTTCGTGATGGATTATGGATATAAGCGATAGATGGTGATAGCAAATGTGACATTTGAAAATTTCAATTTTAAAAAAAATACAAAAGTACACACATTATAACAACATTGTCACACGTGTAAGTTACAATTCTGCAGTGTAGCAAACGATCACTGGAGGTCTTAGAAAGTCCCAAGGATTTGATGAAGCAGGATCAATAATGGCATCCGAAAATGTGAGCAAAAGCAACCAGCTAGTAAATACGAGCGCTGAGGTTAGTCGCGAAGATGGAAAACCACTTTTGAAAGTAGACAATCCCGGACTTTCTTCTTCTAGTTCTTCGGATTTTGGCAATGGCGATCTTCATGATGATTCTTCTGCCAAATCTGAACAAGACGGGGCTCTTTCATCTGAACCAGAATCCTTATCATCAGCAGATGTCTCACAGACACAGTGGAGCATGATAAGTGCATCTCCACGGGCTGGAAGCCCACTTCTTTTATCACAAGAATTGGCACCCCAGATTCCAGACTGGAATGCATTCAGTACAATGAAATCTCCTCCAGTTCAAACAATGGGGCGTCCCACAGGTTATGATCCAAATCGGATTCCAGTGTCTATTTTTTCGACTAAAAAAACAGGGAATATGGATTGGAGTGTTGCTTCGAACGAATCACTTTTTAGCATTCATATGGGAAATAACAGCTTCTCTAGAGATCATGCCATGTTCCTTGGCAAGTCTGGAGAATTGTCGCGGATTGAAGAATGGAACAACTCATCATCCAATCTTCAATATGTTCCTGAAACTAAATCCGGTGAGTTGAACAGCTGCCTTTCCAGCCTTCCCCCGCTCATTGAAGTAACAGCAGACGAAGAAAATTGTGTAAAATTAGGGGAGACTTATAGAAAAGGACAAGAGAATTCTGGTTCAAACCCAAAGATGGCTCCGAGAAAAACCGTAAAGGATCTAGAAAATAAAAGGCCATCCATGACTGAAGAAGTTCATCTTCCACCTAGTATCTCTAATGTGTCGGATGGTAAAGTAACTACTCGTTTTCCATCGAGCCCCCCTCGTCCTTCTGACGACAGTGGAAACAGCAGCAGCTCGTTTGCTTTCCCATTGTAAGTTCTTTTCTTACAGTAAAAAATACTAACTCATGATCATCTAAAATTAGCACTGGCTAAAATTCATGATGAAATGAATATAATAATTTCTCTACTGGATATGCTTTTACATTGTACTTCGGTTTTGTTAGTCTTTGAAGGTGAATTTGCTTTACAGTCTATTGGGGTAAGAGCTTCCATTAACAATTCAGTGGTCCGATGATGGAAACTGTAAATTTTAGTTGTGTTACAACACATATCCACAATGATTAATGGTATTTCTATATCCCGTGCTTTCAAATTGTCCTGACCATACATGCCTTAAGTGTTTATAGCTTTCTGCTCATTTTGAATGTGAAAAAGATTATGGTCTTTTTTTAGGTTTTTCTGCATTATGCAGTGGAAGGAATGTCTGACCGAATTTATTCTTCTGTCTCAGATTGGTAAATGATGGAGGGAAAACTGGCTCGTTGAAGTCAGTATCTAAGGAACCCGAAAAACAACAATCAGAATCAAAACCTTCTGATGCAACACCAAAAGCCTCGGAGACAAGATGGTTTTCTCGCTTCTCCTGTTGGCCTTTCTGCCGTTGAGATACTTTTGTATCTAGTTATTTACTGAATTTGCATTCTGGGACTATCAGCATAGAAGGATGATAATGTGTTGTGGTCCACAACAAAAAATGAGAGGCTTTTAGCTGTGAAACTGCCTGCCTATCGATGAATTGTAAACTAACGGAGTGCCCTGCATAATTTGTGCCTCGATTGTTGATGTTGTATGATAAATTTGTCATAGCATGAATACTTCATGTCGATCATTTGTTTTGATTTGTAAAATCGTTTCCTCATGTGACGAAAATCTTATATCTAGCTATGAATGGAAGAAATGAATTCCTGTACCAAATCTTATGTTTATTGCTTAAAGTAACTGAAAGAATTTACAGCATGCTCGAACATATGATCGTTCAAGAATTCTTACCTTAAAAGATGAATTTTCAAGTTCTTTTGTGGTTGAATCACATTACTAATTCACGTCTCAAATTCTGTATTGAAGACACTCTTATGGTTCTAAGCTCAATTACAATGGAAAGAGATTATTATCACAATTTAAGTCTTATGAGTTTTCATTAAAAAATATGGTTCTAGGCACTTTTCAAGTTAGGCGTGAATTTCCGTACGAATTTTCACCTATTGCTGCCATCTTGTCTCTTCTTGTCTACGACCAGTCTTGAAGGTTGCATGAGAGTTAGGGGAAGTTATAGGGAGCTGTAAGTTTGAATTTCAAGTTCAATCCACTTCCTTCAACCACTTTCATGTCTTGAAGGATTAGGTCACCCCATATAGGCAAACCTTGATCCATATTTTCAACATATCCCACTCATACATGATGTGCTTGACCCAAAGCAGAAGTTATAACGCACGTTACATCCTTCTCAAGGAATACTTCAAAAAAATTCATATGACAATAGATCTTGTGACTGGCGAGTACATATTAGAGCCCACGGTATTATAAATCTATTAGGAATATATAGTAATTCTAGTATACGAAAATCACATCGCATAATATTCTACACTCATTTTTCAACATTAATTCAAGTATTTCGATCCTCGAATATTTATGTAATATACTTGAACTTCATAGTGCATCCTTGTGTTCACAATTATTTGTAGACCCTAAATGGTTAACACAGTTGTCCAATTAGTGAATACAAACAAAAATGTTCAAAATAATTTTCCTTTTCTTCTTGAATCCTTTAATGTTAAACCAAAAGCTTTTCTGGACGTCCCATCATACCAAATCGATCATAGTTATTGATGACTTGCTAAAGTAGTAAGGCTAAAATAAAATCTTGAGAAATATTCTAACGTCATAAGGGTATATATGATAATAAAAATCTCAAAATCTTATACAATAAAGAAGTAGGGATCCATTCAATCATTTATCCAATATTGGTTGTAAAAGCACACGTGCTACAGTAGTTTCTCCCTCTCTTATGGCATATGTCATATTCTTGAAAAATTAAATAATAACTTTCAAATCCTAGTTTAGGTGTTCACCGATACCTAACTTGAGTGCTCCTAATATTCATTCTTTTAGGGAATCTCAAACTAAGAACTCGATTTGGTTATTAAACAAGTATAATGGATAGTATAATCCATTTTGATTGATTATAGTATTCTCATCTTGATATTTCACCAAGTATCACAATATCCTTACCAAGGTTAATATTGATACTCAATGACTAAATTCACGATAAGTGTTAGGACAAATATACATCATAACATACTATAATATCCTAACCACACTAGATATGGTTATTTGGGTATTTCGTTGTGCACTTATGAAATTCTTGGACATATATGAAGATTCATATTGTCGCCTTCCAATGTAGAAGTATCAATATCATATCAATTTTAAAGTTAAAATCATTATAGGATCTTTATCATGTATAACTTTTGTGAAAGAGCAAAAAGATTAGAATAATGTTTTAACGCAACGTATACAATTTGCTAAACCCATATTCTTCGTCTTAATGATTGCGAACAACCATTTCTAAATGGTTTTAATACACTCATAATTAGCCAATATGATGTCATCAACGTCAAAAGTTAGAATTACAACTTACCATTAGATCTTTACATAAATGCATGGATCTTAATGCGCATGATAGAAATTTGTACGAGATTTAAACCTTGTCAAAACTCAAGTACCACTCTTAAAATCACTGTATTTGCCATGAGTGTAAATATGAAGTTACCATAATATTATAAGCCTTTAACAATGAAATCTACATGTCGATCAATGTAAAAAATGAAATTAAACTTTATCTATCATAAACTCATTAATTTTCCACTTAGTTTCAAGAACTCAATGTTTTCAACAAACTTAATGTTCAATTAGAACTCCACCAGATCCCAAATGTGGGTGGATATTCGATACTTCATATGTACTTCCATTACATTTATTAATTTTTTTCTTTGTATTTCTGCAAGTAAGAAGTTTGGGTTAACCAATAATCATTGAAATTAAATTGCTCTCATTTGAAAACAAATTACTTCTACTTGAATCAGAAGCTTAAAAACAACTCATATGTACTCTAACTAATTCATCAAGCACATAATATTAATTTCACCAATATTCTACAAACATTTTTTCCTAATTAAGAAAAATGTCAAATAATACATCTTGTAGCTCAATATCCACCCAAAAATTTACTTATGAACCAATTCCCTTTGGACTGTCGTGTATCTCATAGAGATACATTTCGTTCTTATTGGAATCATGTTTCTAAACTCATTTGAAAATGTGTAAAGAACTTACGTAGTTGATCATAAGTCTACGATGACTTATATTTGGTTATCTACATATCTAAAAGCTAATATGATACTGAAAGGTAACGATATTGAGAAAACTCTATTGAGTGACATGTTATAGTTAACAAATACTATTCCCAAAAAACAAATACATAAATTGGATTGCATTATCTCAAACATCATCACATTCAGCAACACTCCATTCCTTCTATCCAATACAAATTATAATTTTAGTGAACAAGGAATATCTATAAAAATATCATTGAATTCTTGTGATAGAGATTCACACCCTCTAACAATTCTCAGAGTCTTTACTTTCATAAATTGATTTTTGCTAAACTCCAGTGAAGTCCTAAATCAATATGATATCTCCAACTAATGAAAATCAAAAGCACAACTGAAATACATGAATCTATTTATAAATATAATGAAAACATGAGGTTTCATCTCTATATCTCATGATCATAGTCCACAAAGAAATCCAGGTAAATTAACTGTATGGAAGTTTAGCTCTTATAGTCTTTGAATGATTTCACAACTCAAAACATTAAACCGCTGCACAAATATCCAAAATCATAATTAACATTACCATCATGAGTACGAACAAAACTACCACTTTAGAATAATGACATTCAAGATTAAGTTTATTAGAGTCTTTGATGCCATTGTTATATCAAACTGGAGATTAGTTTGTCCGTCTTGCAATACTAAGTTGCATGTAACATTCATAAAAATCTCCATTTTTCTTTATTATTAGTATATCTATACCAAGTCAAATACTCGATAATAGATAAAACAACATCTTGATTTCATGTAAAATGGTTTTCCAACTCTTGAATCCACTATCCACACAGGATACGATCTAATAGGTAGTGTATAGAAAGTAGACAACACTAAGAGGACTATATTCAAGTGTGACATTCTTTAGGTTAAACACTTCCAAGTCAAGTGATTCAAAACCTTATAGTTGAAGTACTTGAAGCCTTATAACATTAATCCTCTATCAAACCACTTTCATGTCCTTACAGTTTGATATGTTCTTCTTATCTTTCTTCCATTACTTCTAGCTTATTTAATACTCAAACATAATCATGTCCTCAAGACATGGTAATATTGAGTCACACGTCTTTTGGCTCACCACAATGGATAGTGTTAATATAAAAATAAAAAATTGACACTTCAATTTATAAGTCGCATTGACATTCAGTTCTCAAAGATTGAAGAAACTAGTTTGAAGTTACTTCTCATCTAGTAAAATGTGACCAACTAAAAAATGTTGAACAAGAAGTTAATTATCCCTGCTTAGTCAAATTTGAGAATAAAATTATCTCATGGAATTTATCAAAAAAAGCACAAGTACTAGAATATATATTTTTTATATTCGATAAAGTTCTTGATTTCTATTTTCTAATAGAGTAGCGTGACCCAGATCAGGTCTACTATTGTATGGTTAATGCTTTTTATAATAGACCAAATGTCTTATTGTGCCAAATATTTTTATATTTAGCTTATCACCTTTATAATAGATTTTTTAAGACATGATCTATAAGATTTCTTAATAAATGAACATTTATGAATATATACCATTTTGAATTAATACAAAATAAATGTATATGATAGTTCAACATTTGGCATAGATTCAAATGTTCACTATGTTCTCAATCATCATCTATAATCTTATTGTTTCACTATCATAAACTTGATTTCATAACGCAAAAATTCATAAGTTCTAAGCAAGAATTACATTAATTCTTCAACCATAAAACTCCTACTCAATTGGTGGGTTAAATAGCTTTAGGAAATATTTTCTTTAAATCTTTCAATCATCAAACTATCACTCAACCGATAATTAATAGTTTTAAGTAAAAAATTTACTAATTCGACTGAACTTAGCATTTATGATAATAAAAAATATCTTGTAATTTAATAAGGCAATGATGTAATATACAACAAGAGCATAAAATGTACATTTATTTATTTATGACATATATCTTGATATCATGTATTCATTCATTCTGAAAATTAATCGAAGATTAAAACTCACGCCATTTAAATTTCATTATGCAAATTTCCGAACACATCATTATCTTTGTTACTACACCATTCCAACAAATGTAAATTGATATCAGAATGCTCATATTCTGCTTATCATAAAAAATTTTCCCCAAAATTATAGGGTCACAAAATCCGTATGGATGCTTCACGTGTTCCACTTGATTATATTTCAAATCCCTTTCATAATTACAATAAGCACATAGCTTCTCAACACATTTTATACCTGTAACCTTTCATTATTCTCTCTTAGAACGTTTAAAGTATGCATGTATCTAGCAATTCGAACTAAGCATATAACATTAAAAGTATGCATGATTCTAGCAACATCAAACATAGCATAAAAATCGAAAATATGTCATTATTAATCACACGACCACATCAAGATCAACATCATTTAAGAACATGGGGATATAATATTATTTGACATCAAAGAAATTTTTTACACTAAACTTGTATTTTTTAACTTAAATATAATTTTGAAAAAATTATT